ATATCTAATAAACAAATTAAGTTTCATTAAAAATTCAAATGCCATTTACTATTGAATTAAAAACTCAAACATTTTATTAAATTAAAAATATGTGTTACCATTTAAAAAAACAAAGTTGACACCCTTACCAGGCATAAGGGATGAACTTAAAAAGTATTACATAGTTAATAGTTCAAGAATAATGTGTAAATAAACATAATAATAAAAAAAAATTTTTAAATTATTGTTATTCTGTAAGTAATTGAGTGGGTTATGATAAAAAAATCACTCTGTATACTATAGTTTTTAACTAATTAATAATAAAATCAAAAATCTAATTTCAATTTTGAAATTAGTATGAAAAATGAAAGTATATTTTTGAATTTAATGAAAATTCCTTAATAACCTTTAATTCATAATTAACAACAAATTATTTTCTAAAAAGTTTTGTATCAAGCCCTTCAATTTTTATACACATTTCCATAGAACTGCGAATTAGAAATAATGAAGGAAATAGGAGTTTATTTTTCTTTTGGAATACTCCACCGATTTTTAAAATTAAACACTATCTACGGATTTGCATCGAAGCGTTTTTTATGATAGTGATTTTAATCACTATTAGATATCATTATACTTATCTCAATTATGCCACGTCACCACTATATCTTGCACTGTATCACTACACTACCGATTTTAGACATGATTCTCTTAGTTACTTAGGAAAACTACAAAATTCAATTATTGATTACTTATTAAATTGTGTTACTTACCATATTAGAGTTTTTTATATGTTGAATTACTTCGTTTAAAATGCTGCGAAGTTAACGTATACACTTAAACACGTATCCAATTATTATAACACAATAAAATATTATTTCGTGTTAAATTTAAATACAGATAGTAACTATAATTCGTCATCACAATTACAAATATTTAATTAGAATTGTTTATTATCATTAATGCATAGTTGAGAAGCTATTGATTTCACTTGCCGTTTTTTTTTTTTTTTTGTGTGTGTAAACGAATATATCTGCTGCTATTGGATTTTTTTTTATTTGACGCTCGCCTAAAGAAAAAAGAATAAAAACTATCCAAAATTTTGATTTCTACGAGTTATTAAAAATTTAAGAATAAATTCATACAATTTATGGTAAAAATAGGCAATTTTATATTATTCAGTATATTAATCGATTATTTCCATAATTCTAAATTACATTATTAAAGATTGATTGATGTAATACATGATTAAGAAAAGGAAACGTTAACTTAAAGTCTCGAAATATACCTCTAAAATCATAAACCATATAATTTTTGAAATATATATTAATTTTTTTTTAATATGTTTCAAATATACATTGAAGTGTTTTACGATTTTAATATAAACTAATAACAATAAAGCTCAACTTTATTTTACTGGAGCCTTATTGTACCTTTTATTTTTGAAATTGTGATAATATGTTAAAAATTTATAATATAATGTTCATGGTTAGTTCTTATAATTTATTTTTTTAAATAAGTGTCAATATTTGTTCCTTTTATACTAACGTGTCATAAATTTAAGGTATTTTTATAAAATCTTATACCATTTTTACGATTCATGTATAATATTGTTATTATTAGGAAAATATGTTTACATATAATGAGTTCTAACTATGAAACAATTTTGTAAGAAAAATATATTTATTTATATATATTTAACTTGGATAGGAATGTAATAACAATATAACGAAGACAAATATATGAACACAAAAATAACTGATCAATAAAAACTTTTGGACCAATATTTCATAGGTAGTAAAAAATTCCGGGGGCCGCAGTTATACTGTATAATATTTACCGATGTATACGCTGTTGCTCGTCCGCTACGCCGTGTCCTCCTTGCTGTCCGACTCCTTCTAAATTCCAAGTTGGAACTACCTTTGCATTGTCATTAATATAACTGTCGTCATATACGCTATTACTGCACGTCCATTGCGACGTGTTCTTATTGCTGGGCATGACAACAGCCGATGGACATAAAAAATGTTTTATACTTTTTTTAGGTCGTAATTGATTAAAAATAACCCCAACATATAAATCGTCGGTCACAAGATCTTCAAAACTACATGCTTCAGATGCTAACCTTTCAGCACTACTAATGATTACAAAGAAATTAATTTTTATACTCGTGTATGACATACTTGTTAAATAATATTTTCTTTTCTTTATTTTTTTATCTTTCAAATTGTTTCTCCATGATCATAGGACACTCAGAACATTATTTAATAAACTTGTTGTAACTACATATATACTATTTAATAATCTTTTTTTACAAAAAAAAAAAAAAAACTTATCTTAGTAAATAATACCTTCTCAGCTACGCATCGAAGCTAAACGATTTTTTTAAAAGTTTTTCATTTTAACATTAAAAAAATCCAGCACAGGGAGGTCGCGGCACAGTGGTGACGTGGCATAGTTGGATCAAGTATAATGATATCTGACAGTGATTAAAATCACTATAAAAAAAAAACGCTTCGATGCAAATTTTTAGATAGTGTTTAATTTTAAAAAATTGGTGGATTATTCCAAAAGCTACATGATCTGCTAGTTCCTTATTAATATCCTGATTCAGATAAAGTATATCGAATGAAAGAGGGATTATTAAAAAATATTATTTCTCATAAAAAAATTATGTTAATTCATACACTTTTCAATATGTTATAGCATTATAAAGTTAAAAACAAAAAAATAAAATCGACAATTTTCACACAATAATAGCATTTGGTAGCCAATTACACCTGAAGACAAAATAAAGTACGAAATTTTTTTTACCATTATAAAGTATATTTTATTAGCTTTAATTTAAGATATATATAAAAGTGTCAGACCTTCCGGAACACTTTCAAAAGTTGAAAAAGTTCTACTTTCTATATGCATTTTTATGTTTTGAATCCCCCCTGTATTAAGGGAAATGGTCCGATTTAAAAAAACCGTATGTCGAATGAAAGATCTATATAAATACTACTTCTCATAAAAAAATTGTATTGATCCATACATTTTTTAAAAAAGTTATAGCATAATAAAGTTAAAAATGTAAAATACAAAATCGAAAATTTTCACACAAAAATAGCATTCGGTAGCCATTTTCACCCTGAAGATAAAATAAAGTCCGATATTTTTTTGTGTTAATCCATTTTTTAAAAAGTTATAACAATTCAAAGATCAAAATATGAAATCGAAATTCGAAAATTATAACACAAAAATAGTATGTTTATAACTACGGCAACCATATGTACTTAGAAGATAGGTATTCGGAATAATTTTTTTTTTATACTCACAATACGTAACATGCTTTAATTTAACAAATATTTTAAAACATAGTATTTCCGAAACATTTTCAAATTTTTTAGTTGAAAAAGGTAATTTTTTGGAAAAGTAGCTATTTTGAAACCTCATTTGTAGACAAATAAATGTAACAATTATCTGTTTCAATGGGACATAAATTATTTTTATGGCAATTATAAATTATTTCTTCTGGAACCAACGATTTATAATTTTTAGACAAAAAAATCTTAGTAATAAGATAAACTAGATTAAAAATAACATTAGAAAGAAGATGATAATAAGGTTTAAGTTTCTGTTATAGAAGAAAAAATATTAATGAAAATAGAAGAGGACAACGAAAAAATATATTTAACAAATAAATTAGCTGTGTCATTTACATGAGTATTAGTGATGTCATCATTTGGACATAATTGTACATAATCACACACCTTGTTCAAGTAATTGATTTTATGTTATTTTCTTATTTAACGATAACATATTATAATAATAATCAAACAATCTGACATATTTTTAATTTAGATAATTATAGTTGTATTTATTCAGATATTTGCACTTAAGGAAAACATGAAAATGATTTCTTCTTCGTTCTTTCTTCACGACAATAAGGACAATGCCCATTACATTGATTACTTAGGCTTTTAAAACATCTCTTACAATAAATTTCTGGGCAACGAGATGAATAAGAGTACTTTCCTTTCACAATTCCACAAAAGGTACACAAACGATTGGGGTCGAAAATAAGACCTAAAAAAATTAATAACACAATTTTAAATTGAATATTTGATAGTGATTTCATTATTTTATGCGAATAATTAAGCAGCCGCATTGACGTGCGACCACTGGATCGCCTGAAAAAGGCAGTCTTGAGGACTTGTCTTCTGAACATTTTTTTGTGATAAATAAAGAATATTACATAAGCTTTAAAATAAGACATGTATATAATTAACAGTATTTCTGGAACATTTGCAAAAGTTATATTGAAAAAGTTAATCCTCGGACATCAAAAAGTTAGCAGTGTTGATGGCGACGGTGCGCGGGTGCGGATCGATTCGTCGAGTCCGGTCGTCCGGAGTCGGTGGCGTACATCCTCGACGTTGTCACTTTGACAACGGGAAGAAAACTCAACGTGTCATTTGCGGCGGGTCGTCGTCGGCCGTGCGGCACTTTCTGGACTTTGCACCGTGGCGTATGGCACGCGGTGTTGGTCAGTCAAATACTCATAGTAGGGCGACGGCTGATAAAGATGGCACGAGTCGCTGGGACATCGTGTACCACGAAGCAACGCGGTACCGTGTCAATATTTAGAATAAATGAATGACTTATTCCAAAAACATCATCTACTACTGTTTTCTTAAATATATCTTGATTAATAGTTCTTTGATTTATAAGTTAAATGTTTTCTCTAAAATTTTCAAACATTTACGCAAAAATTGTACTTTTTTATATAACTTTTATGTTGTTTTCACCACGACGACAAATCCTGAGAACTTGTCTTCTGATAATTGGTTATCAAAATAGAGAATATTATACAAGCATTAATTTAAAATTAAGATTTTTCAAATAGTTATGTCAATTTTAAGAAAAAGAAGTTAAAAAAATGTCAAAAATTACTAATTTTAAAAATTGTAATTTTTTTTAAGAATTTACCCAATTATAGGGAACATAGAAAACGATTAGAATTTTTGAGAGTAATTTCCTTAAACTAGATACGATTTGTAATCTTTTGACACATTATAGAAAGAAATGGGTTCTGTGAAAATTGAAAAAATGTGCTAACAAACAAAAGAGGACAAATAATAGAAAAATTAATACCTCCTCAACTTTGCAATGAAGCTAAAATTAATTTCTTGTGGAAATAATAGAACCATAATAATAATATTATTTTGCATATAAAATTATTATAATATAATAATCAACTTATCTAAATTAATTGCTTATGATCCTAAATTATTTAATCTGGTACTTAAAATGTGATCGACACTATTTTAAAAAAGTAAAATAAATATGAAGTACCTTTCACTAAGTCTTCATTGCACATACATTGAGTACTCAAGTTATTCTTGACACAAAATTTACATAAATCAATACCACAACATTTCATTTTTTCTAACTCATTATCACTTTTATCAGTTTGACATTTATGGCACATGCGAATTCCTTAGAAAAAAATCATCTTTAAAAAACATCATTATAAATTGACTAGATATTCAACACCATATTTCGTTAATCTCTAAATTAGTGTCCAATAATTTTAGAACAGTTTACATAAAAAATAGTAAATTTATTCCAAATAAGAACGATGTGGTTTAAATTTACGTTAGCTACGTTATTTGATTGATTAAATGTATACTATCTATACACTACCTGTACACTACCTTTCGTTATAAAATTGACAACCCCTGAAATATAGAACGTCAGTGTACTAAATGACCAGTGGGCGTTCTTAAGAGTATACTACCTAGTCCATCACAGAAATATATAAGATTCATTATACCATATTCATTAATAATAATGTAAACAAGCACATAATATTTATTTTGTACTTATTTACTTCTATTTCTTTACTACCAAAAATTTGATATTAACAAATTTTCGGGTATTTTCAAAAAAGCGATTTATTAATTTTAATTTAATCCATGTGGATAAAATTAACGGTAACAGGTATCAAAATTTAATAGATGTATAACTAACTGAAGTTAAATTTTGCAAAACTCAGTTACATCAGATAAATTTAGACTTAAGGTTAACTGATTCGATTGCGTGTCCAAAAATAAAGCAGATATAATATTAGTTGTTTTGTATGAAGCAGTTAGACTGTAGAACGGTTTGTTTGTACACCGCACTAGAATGCTGTTTTCAGCGATGGGAAGTATGTATGAAGAAAGTATGTTTGCGTTGAAATTTTATTTTATTGTGACGGACAGTGTCAACCATTAAAGTAGTGCACAGGTATGAAAATTCGAAGAGGACAGGGCACAATAGAATGTGAAACAAACCAATAAATTTATGGCACACTATGGCCAAACAATAATACAAATAAATAGAGCCGCATTCTGTGTATACGAAATACGCACAATATTTTTTCGTTGAAGAACAACGATGGACCGTCCACGGCTAGCAATCGATGCGTAGGCAGTCAAATTTCCATGTTGGGTTGACAGGGAGCTAGGTAACCAAAAAATTTACAGACTAGCTGTCTCAAAATGATATACTGAACAGTATTTGTGATAACAGGTCCACTAAGTCTTTGTTATAGGCGCTCTCTACCAAACATTAATTGAAAGAGTTGTAAGATAGATTAAGATAAAAGGAAGGTGTAAAATAAGTCTATGGACTTGCAAAAAATATAGAAAAACGGTCTAAAGATTATAACATTGTAAGGTGTATAAAAAGTGACGATAAGACGCAACTAACGAGTGATGATGACGTGAAAAAAATGGAAATATTTCGATAAATTACTGAATGAAAAGTATCCAAGAAAGAAATTAAAAGATATGGAACAAGAAACTGGTAGATTCAATTAGCGAGAAAAAGGTATGGGAGCCTGTGGCATCAATGTAAAAGAATAATAGGGTAAGACCAGATTAGGTGCCGGATGGCTGATAAAATCGTTTTTAAAAAATACAAAAAAAGGGGAAAATATCAAAAGAATAAAGGAATAATATTATGGTGCCGATATTTAAAGGCAATGGAGACGTGATAAAGTGTGTAAATTATAGCAGCACAAAACTTATGATTCATAACATGAAAACATGAAAATAGGAAACAGATAAATAATTAGAGGTGACACAACATAAGTAGAAAAGAAGAAAAAGCTGTGAATACTTTAATGTAGTAGACAATATGTACGATTACACATGTACCAGGTTAAAAAGTGTGGGTGGAGTAAAAGAAGATTTTAGGGTAAATGAAGGAGTCTACCAAATACAAGGAGAGGTAACGTGTTGATCACTGACTATATAGTGTTAATAGGAAAAAACAAGTATGAAATTAATTAAAAGCTAGATATTTGGAGATTAGCTCTTAATGGAAAGGAATTAAGAATAAGTAGGAGTAAGACAGATACATAAAGTATGAATTTGGCCAAGAATAAACTAGGTAGGTAAAATGAGGAAATCAGTGAGAATTAATGAGGACGTTATAGGAGAAAAGAAAAATTCTAATATTTACGATTAGTTGTGCAAAACAATGGGTAAGAAGATTTCAGACTTAGGATTATTTATGGATAGTTAAATTAGGCAGAAGCGCATAGTGTTTTATACGATAAAAAAAAATTTCAGTAAGGCTAAAAGGTAATTTCTATAAGACTGTAGTGTGACCAGCTACAATGTATGGTTCAGAATACTAGGCGATTGACAACACACTAAGAGCAGAGAAAAAGTGTACAGAAAGGGAGAGGTGAAAAGTTTTAAATATTTACGATAAGTTGTGCAAAAATATACCATAAGAATTGATAAGTGCTCTAAGCTACTTATTTTCTATAAAATTCCTTTTTAAAGCATATCTTCAAAAATGTAATTCATTTAAAAGAGTAGAGTTACGTGGAGTAAATATAAACGAATGATTCAATTATAAATTAATTTTTTCTTTTAGAATATTTTAGTAGGATTAATTTTAGGTTGATAATATCTAGTTGTTTAATATAATTCTATTATATTAAATGTAAGTTCGAAATAATAATTTATGTATTTATCAAATAAAGTACATGTAGCTTTACTTCAATCGTTTATATTTATCTCACTTCACAATTTTAATATGTAAGATAATATACTTTCAAATGGATTTTTCTTGCAAATTGGACAAATTAATTTATTATAGGTTATGAATTTGTATAAACATTTCTTATGATATTTCACAGTACAACATGGATGTATAAAATCATTAACATTCATTTCCTCATGACACATCACACAAACTAAAAAATATCAATTTATAAAAAAAAGAAATTTTAATAACGTTTAATTATATTATTTTATTAATTACACTCATTAGTTTATATATAAGATTTCACATAAAACGTATTTAGTAATAATAAACATTTTTATTTAATCTAATTAACCTGATCCTACGTTCCTGTATTTCCTTGCAAAAATCACTCACATGGGATAATTTCTTACACCTGTGTAATGATTATACGTATATTCTATATATATTAATTTAACTGATTTTTTGAATACAACATAAACCAATTTAATTAATATATATTCAATTTTATTATATAATAAATAAAAATGGTATTCCAATAAATAATAAAATTTATGTAGAAATAAATGTACTTTTAAATATAATAATAATAAATAAAAATATATTTAACTGTAAATTAACTTAATGTTTTTAATTGATCTCTAGTAGCCAATTACCCAAAATTAATACTATATTAAAAATATAATTAATATAAAACTAAAAAATATTAAACTCAAAAGGTAGCAAAAGATATTTTTAAAAAATTGCAGATGAATTACGGGTGACAATTTTATCATTATCAACACTGACACCCCTATCCAAAAAAATCTTTTATACCCCTAGTGACCTTGACACAAAGTGATGTTATCACTAAGTAATATTTTCACTTTTTGCCCGTTTTTACAATTTCAAAATACTCAGGACATATTTTTATTATATATAATTATTCTATTACATATAATCTTTACAAATAAGTTCACTGGGTTTTTAGTAAAATTATTTAGTGGTTTTTATCTCAATTTTGTTCACAAAAAACACACCGTTCATATACACTATTCCCTTTCTAGACCTCTGCTTTATTGCTACTTCTAGATCCACAACATTGATTTAGAAGATTTTTATTTTAAGACGTCAATAATTGTACCATTAACAATTTTATGTCTTAGGTTATAATTAATGAATCATATGTTTTCTACGCTTAAATAACTGTTCTAAGGTAATTCAGATACAATGTTAAAAGTAACTAAAATGATTGTTAATAACAAATTAATGGTCACACACTGTTGAGAATTCAATTATTTATAAGTAAATTTATTCTAAGGAATCTAGATAAAGTGTCAGCATTATAGCATCTAAATTACTGGTTTTATGATATGTTTGACAATACATGAGTAATGACATTAATTTTTTCAAAAAAAAAAAAAAATCAGTGTGATAAATACGCGAACACTGCATAGTTTTAATTTGCAAAATTCATAATAGAATCCTTCCTAACTGTTTTTAGTAGAATTTTTTTTATATGTGATTGAATAATTGTTATTTGCATTTTCAATTGTCTATAAAAATGCCTTTGTTTTAATTATTACTCTATTTATTTGAAAGAGACAAATCATTTTGCAAAAAAAAGTCAATAATAGTGATAACTATTATTAATATATACATATTTAAAGAAATTGTAAGTATTTTACTATCTTCTTCATTAGTGTCTGTTAATCCTGTTGCTTCCTCGAGATTATCAGAGCTGGTCAATACCTTTTCACATTTTTGTAAAACAACCAATAATATAATATTTGCAATAAATAATTTCTGAAAAATATTGTTTAATTAGTTGTTAGTTGTTGTAAAAGTATAAGGACTATTTGAAAGATTTTCATATGATGTGTTTTTTTTTGTAATAGCTGGAAATTACAATTATCCAATTCAAAAGATATAAATGATACAAAAACAAACGCTTATGTATATTTGCGATTAGATCCGATTCAATGCTTATTACCAAATCCGTATGACTTTAACAGAAAATTATAAACATTATTATAGTTCATCGGACTTTATACCATCTGAGAACATTATTAAATTTGAAATCCTGACTTATGGTAGAGAAAACAAGACAAAGTAATGTCCATGAAATCAAGAAAAATAACAGCGAAAAAAATGCATTCGTTGCAAATATTTCGTTCACAATACAAAAACAAAAATCCAGCATAGTGGTGATGTGACATAGTTGGATCAAGTTAATTATATCTGACAGTGATATGTCACTCATTTTCTTTGCTCTTGCTTGACCAATTTTTTTCAACGATTTGTTAAATGATTACAATTTGTATCTAATTGAAGATATTACACTCAAAAATTGAAAAAAAAATGTAATTTATGAATTAAACAGTTACTTATCCCATTTTCTCAGGACAGACAATTAAAATCATTCATTTCTTATGTTTTCAAAGTATTTATTGACGATTCAAGATTGATATAATAGATTTCAACTACAAACTTAACGCGTATCCAATAATGCGATCGCACAGGTTATCTCGTTAATATATGTATAACTTATAGTTCTACAACGATAACAGTAAAAATAGCGTAAAGGAAAAAACGATCGTAGCAATACGAACAGTTCGGTATGTAAATATATATATATATATATTACTCGGTTGACGACCCTAGCCGTAACGGATATATTTTGACAAGACTTACGTCGCCAAAATGTGGTCGACACTGGTTTTGAGGGTAGAGACCCGTGGGACGTTTATTAAAATGAGCGACAACAGATTATTTTAACTAAAATAAAACAAACCGAAAAGATAAACACAGTAATAATAATCTTCGCATAATATCGCGGCACTTTCGCTGGCGTCGACGACGCGTGTCCGGCGTAATCCTTGGACGGCAAAATGATTAGAAGCGTTGTAGGCGACGGTGCGCGGGTGCGGATCGGTTGGTCGACGTCGTCGCTTTCACAACGGGAAGACTCACGCACCATTTGCGGCGGGTCGTGGTCGGATGTACGGCATTTGCCGGACTTTGCACCATAGCGTATAACACACGGTGTTGATCAGTCAAGTACTCATAGTAGGGCGACGGCTGATAAAGGTGGCACGAGTCGCGGAGCATCGTGTATAATGAAGCGACGCGGGCCGTGTCAATTTCTTACACAACCCAAATGTATATATGTAGATATAGTATACTACACAGCTTACTCTAGGTATCGGTCTCGAAGTATCGTCTCAGAACAAAAGAAAGACAAACTCAAAACGACAAAACAACGGGTAACCAGTTACAGGTACGTCGGAAACGGAACAGAACGCAATATCAGTAATCCATATTCGGCAGCGGCCTTATCTCAGTGTCAAAGGCGGGGAGACAACCGATGACAACCGATTGTCATATTAATAGCTGGACGGCTGATATCAAGAGAGATACGGGTGAGCGCCAGCCTAGAGCAAAAGGCGGTGACGTGTCAAACTTAAATCATTTTACTTTGTAATTTAATAGTTATTTTACTCTGTTTGTGTGTACGACTACTAGACTATAATATTTCAATTTTTTTTTGAAATCATCAAAAGATGATCAATAGAAGAAGAACATCAAAAGATGTTGCTATATAAATCATTTCTAAAAATAATGATTCTTAGTTTCTCCTAAATTAGGAATATATAAAAATATTTATTATTTTTTAAATTTTGTTACATAAGTTGATATAGTGTAAAATGTATTGTTTCAATTAATCTTAGTAAAACTACATTTTGGAATTATTTACCACTCAATAAATTGTGTTACTTACCATATTAGAGTTTTTTGTAAGTTCCAATATTTCGCTTAAAATGGTCCAATATCACATAAATATGTATATATATATATGTTCTATGTTTTATAATAAAATTTAATGTTATTTCATGTTAAATTTAAAAATATTTTAAATTAAAACTATCGTGCGTCACCACAAACGCAAATATTTAATAACGGACTAAATTGAAATTGATTTCACTTGCCGTGTTTTTTTTTTTTTTGTGATTGTACGCGAATACATCCGCTGCTATTAGATCTATTTTAGTCAACGATACTTCTAACGAAAAATAAAAAACTATCCGAAGTCTTGATTTCTATGATTTATTGAATATTTAAACATAAAACTATATAATTTTTGGTAATAATAGACAATTTTATATATTCTGCATAGTATTCAAATATTTACATAATTCTGAATTTCATTAAATGAAATATTGTTTTATGTAATACATGACTATAAAAAGGTAAACGTTGATTTAGATCTAGAAATCAACCTCTAAAATCAAAAACCATATATGTTTTGATAGATATGTTAACTTTTTTTTTAATATTTTGAATATACTTTATTTATATCTATATTTATAATATAATATAATTTGTCATTCATCTTGCTCTATAAATTGTTCCTGGTGGATGGATTATAATTTTTTTTTGTACGGTTATTCTTTTAATCCTATTTTAAGAACTATGAAAACCAGTTGATTCTAATGACGAGTTACGCAGATAATAGTAGATAGCAGAATTACATAGAATAAAATTCTATTTGAATAATAAAAAATCATTTTAATAATATTATCATTAAAATGGTTATAAGTAGACCTACAATTATCAATTAAATTATTAATTTAAACCAAAATAACACAAGATAAGATAAACATTTATCGGACTTTTTTATTATTAAATGTAAAAATTGTCATGAGTTGATAAAATATTATAAAACTAAAATTGATTTAATGAAAAGTAATTCATGGTACAGAAAAAACACTATAAATAATCAGATAATTCAATTTAAAGTATAAACAAAGAAATATGTAAAATTAAAAATTAACAAATTTAGTAAAGCAAATTTATATTTTTATTAATTTCAGAAATAGATATTTTTTAAGTTTTATTAAATTTTTTATAATTTTTTTTCAACTAATACTAGTTGAATGCTATAAAATTCAACTTAATAACTTAAGTAATTTATATTCAAGTCAGTTTAAACATTTAAAAAGAATAGGATAAAATAGGGTATTCACCCTCTGGTTTTCCACTCCATGGAGTGGGATTCCATCATCTGATGGGATGAGAAGGGGGCAGAGGAAATTAAATCCAACACAAACTTACCAAAGGTCACGAATCCCGATGTAACCGTAGCCAAGGTAACCTATCGTAACCTGGGTTAACCTAATTAAATTTAACCGCATGAGTGGTAGCTAGAGGTAACGATCCTACTAGTTAAGTCGTTTCACATTAGCCCTATTACGTGTATTAGGGTGGTCCTTATTTTTCAAACTCAATTTTTTTAAGACAGTACCCTCTAGATTGGTTAAATACTATTAAAATGTAATGTAGGTAAAATTTGGAAGTTTTTATTCAACCCCTTCTGGTGCCGCATTAGGGTTGAAATATGGCACTTGATGGTTGTTTTTGCTTTTTTTGTGTTTAACTCGATAAATATTACACTTATCACTAAAATGAATAGAATATTAGTTATAGAACTTATTATTGCCTACAAAAAAGGTTATAACAATATTTTTCATAAATTCATTATATTTTGAGAAAAATAACTTAACATAAAAATTTTTCAAAATTTAATTTTGATGCGAAGCGGAGAAGGTATTAATTTTACTATGATGTGTTTTTTTTTTTATGTCTGTTGCCACTTTTTCTCAGCTCTCACTGGACCGATTTCTTTCAAAAATACGTCAAAAGATCACAAATCGTATCTAGTTGAAGACATTACCCTTAAAAATTGAAAATAATTCCAAATGATGGAAATATCCAAAAAAATTACAAATTTAAAAATCTCTAATTTTCGAAATTTTTTCACTTTTTTTTCTTAAAACTTCTATAACTTTTAGAAGAATCAACAAATTTTTTTTATACTAAAACTAGATATTTCCCTTTCGTTTGATATCATTNTACTAAAACCTTAGATATTTACCTTTCATTTGATATCATTTTTTTGAAAATCTATCACTTAACCTGCTCATTGGGGGGGATTTAAAATAGCAACTTTTTTACAAAAATTAACTTTTTCAACTTAATTTTGAAAATGTTCCAGAATTACTGCGTCCTTCAAACATATATCAAATTAAAGCTTTTTTTATGTACTATTAAATGAAAAAAAAAAATTTGTTCCGACACTTTTTCTTCTACATTTACACGGCTGCCGTAGTTAAAAAAACACTNATTCTACATTTAAACGGCTGCCGGCTGCCGTAGTTAAAAAAACACTATTTTTGTGTTAAAATTTTCAATTTTAAATTTTCAACTTAAAAATGCTATAACTTTTTAAAAAATGTATATATCAGCACAAATTATATTTTTATAAATACATTATAAGTACATCTTTCTTTTGACATACTTTTTATTAAAATTGGACAATTATCCCTTATATAGGGGGCGTTCAAAACTTGAAATATTGTATAAAACATAGAACTTTTTAAACTTAACTTAACGAAAATTTAAAAAAAATATAATGTTTGGGATAAAAATCTTTTTCAACTGAACTTTTGAAAATGTTGCGGAAATACTGCGTCCTTTAAACATATATCAAATCAAAGGTTATGTTATATACTATCAAATGAAAAAAAAAAATTTGTCCCGACATCTTATCTTCTATGTGCAAATGGCTGTCGAAAATTTAAAAAAAAATGTAATGTTTGCGATAAAAATTACATTTTATCGGGATATTTTTTGTACTTAAAACTGCCATAACTTTTTCAAAAATGAACAAATAAAAATAATATTTTTTTGTATTGAAACCTTAGATATTTCCCTTTCATTTGATATAATTTTTTTTGAAAATCTAACACTTATTCAGCTCACTAGAAGTATTTAAAGTAGTAACTTTTTTACAAAAACTAACTTTTTCAACTTAATTTTTGAAAATGTTCCGGAAATACTGCGTCCTTTAAACATATATCAAATTAAAGCTTATTTTATGTAATATAAAATGAAAAAAAAAAAATTTGTCCCAACGACCTATCTTCTATACGCAAATGGCTACTTATTGAAAAATATANTATCATTTATTTTCTCAGCTCTCACTTGACCTACTTTTTTGACCAATTTTTTTTTTTTAATTAAACACTATCTACAGATTTGCATCGAAGCGTTTTTTATGATAGTGATTTTAATCACTGTCAGATATCATCTATAGTGGACCCAACTATGTCACGACCCCACTGTGCCGCCACCTCACTGCGCTGGGTTGGGTTTTTTTAAATATTTTAATATTTTTACTGAGTGGTTGAAATTTCATTAAATTTTCATGTTATCTTTTTTTTTAAATTAATATTAAAAAATAACTTAACCAATATCATTTATGAAAGAAAAATTGTTTACTTAAATATTTAAATTTCAATTTATGTTTGTTAATTTGGTTCAAAATGCCAGCCATGTTTACAATAACCCCTATTCACAGTTATCTCACTAGACCATATAGCTGAATAAAGAATACCAACAAGTTTTTAAGTTAAAACTTCAAAATGTTGATCTTGAAGTTTTTCGAGTTGGCCGAAAATTAGATCTATAAACTATAGTCCAGATCAATATAAAAAAAACCCAGCACAGAGGGGTCACGGCACAGTGGTGACGTGGCATAGTTGGATCAAGTATAATGATATCTGACAGGTATTAAAATCACTATCAAAAATAAACGCTTCGATGCAAATCTTTAGATAGTGTTTAATTTTAAAAAATTGGTGGATTATTCCAAAAGCTTCATAAACTGCTAGTTCCTTATTAATATCCTGATTAAGATAAAGTATGTAGAATGAAAAAGGGATTATTAAAAAATAGTATTTCCCATAAAAAAATTATATTGATCAATACACTTTTCAATAAGTTATAGCATTATAATGTTAAAAATGTAAAAAATAAAATTGAGAATTTTCACACAATAATAGCATTTGGTAGCCATTTTCACC